GCCATCACGGGGTCCAGGCTGACGACGGGGGTGGGTTACAAGCTGGTACTGAGCGGGAGGGGGAAAAGCGACCCCTCGCCCGCGCTGTAGCCAGCGCCATGTGCTTCAGCTGCTCATAGCCTGCCTGGGGCTGCTCAAAACAAAAGGAGGGCAGGGGATACATGGCAGGATGCCCTGCTTGTGCCTCCTGCCCCCCACCCAAGGCCCCTGCTCCCAGCCCTGCTCCTGGCCCCTGCACCCCAGCCTGGGCTCTGTAGCTGTCAGCAGCTACCCAGAGCCTGGGCCAGCTACAAACATCTACTGCCTCTCCGCCCCACCCCCCACCTGTGCCTGTTTGGGACAGCCCCACATGGGCTGCGAGCGGCTGCAGCAGGGAATGCCGGCCACAGGGCAGGGGAGGGGCTGCTTTTCCCCACACTCAGCACCAGGTCATTCCCTGCCGCAGGGCTGTGCACTGCCCCCTGCCTGTACCGAAGGGCTGGGGGGGCACTGGGAGTGAGCAGGTGCACAGGGCCCACACCGGTTCCCAGGGCCAGCACCAGTGGGGCTCAGAGCAGGGTGGCAGGAGTACAGGGTCCCGGCTGGCGGGGGCTCTGTGGAGCCGAGTCAGCTCCCCCCTCTCCCTGCTGGTGCAGCCCAGCCCAGCTTCACAGACCCCTGCCAGCCTGTGCCCTGCTCTGGGTCCCGCTGGTGCTGACCCTGAGACATTGGTCCCAAGATGTGCCCCGCCCCCTGGTCACCCTGTCAAGGGGCAGGGCTACCCATGCAGCCCTTGACAGCTTGCCAAAACTGGGTAAGCAGCCTTCTGCCTGAAATAATTGCCCGCCCCTGCTCTGGGACATGGCACCTTGGGCCATTTTCCCACTGAATGAGGCCCCTGAAGCTCAGAGAGGGTCAGGGACCTGACCCTGCAGGACAGCAGCCCTGGCAATGAGATGTCAGAGAATTAGATCTGTTTTGCCATGACACATCACAACACAGCTGATTGTGCTCCAAAGACAACATGTTTCCAGCCAAACAGATATTATGAAAGAAATGCATTAAAAGGCTATGAGACATTGAGATGCTACTGTAATGGGAGCCATATTAGTACTTCCAGAGTATTTCTCAATCAAACAGTTATTTGACTGTCATTCTCATGTAGACACCCAGCAGGGAAAATTTGAGCCTGAATGGTTATCACTAGACAGAATTATAAGCAATGGAGGTAGGGGTCTTACAATAGGCAGTGTTGGACAGCCCTAACTTTAGGCAATGTAGCTCTGCTTTCAAAATGCTCATTAACTGTACATAATGAAACCCTTTGGCTTATGTTAAACATAATGTTCTTTTCCACTTGCTTGTAAAAGATATTTAATAATATTTAAAAATTGTAAATGGAAGGGATTCTTAAAAATTCTTCTTTAAATTATCAAGTTTGTAAGTAGTAGTATGCCTGAGGCCAATTTCTAACTGCCCGGGGTGGGGGTGGAGTTTGCAGTTTTGACACAGTTTAACTTTACTCCCATGAATGTTAACCAGATGGCCTTGTAGGTTACTAGCAAAAAAAAAAAAAAGAACAAAGTGAAAACCTTGCAACTGTAGATCATCTTTGGTTTCCAGAAATCTGCCACATGTTTGTTTGTGTGTCAGAAATAGCTTTATAAAACCACATCTTGAATTGTAAGATGCAGACAAAGAAAAAAGTAAACTTTACAAGATAAAGCAAGGGAATTATATTGTGTTATGGACTTTTCTGCTAGATTTTCATAAAAATATTTGATACTTGTTACAAGTTTTGTTGTGTGTGCATATGAACTGGAAGTGTAACAAATACAACTGTAAAGGTTTTATGTATAAAAACTAACTATGAGCTATAAATTGTAGGTATACAGGAGGATCTGTATTGCCAAAAATATCCACCAGCCCTACAAGGTTGTATTCCTTCAAATGGTTTTGAAACAGAATTTGAAGAGAGCAGTAAGATGATCATCTTATGTATTATGATAAAATCAGAGAACAAAAGGATATAATATATTATTCTCTTGATACATATACATAAGTCCTATTAATTTACAATATTTCACAATGTATAAGTTGATGCAGTGTAAATTTTTAATTTAAAAAGTTAGGTTTTTCATATATCAGGTGTTTAAGTTGATCTTCACTTTGATCTTTGTCAGAGCAAAAAAGATCAGGCCCTTGCATGCTGACGGGTTCTGGGGAAGTTGGATTGGGCTCCTGGGAGCTCAGGCAGCACCCAGTCTGCTGGCAGCCTTGGGGGCGCCGCCACCGCAGAGGAAGGGACGAGGTCTCCCCACAGCTCACCCACTGACCACAGGGTGGGGAGCTGGCAGGCTCTGCTGAAAGCAGGATTGGGTCCCTCACCCGGGAATGAGCAGCGTGAGGTGTTGGGCAGGAGGCCGGCCCTGCCTGACACCTCTAGCCTCCCCCCACCTTCCTAAAAGCTTGTTACTGGACTTCTGCCTCAGAAGGAGAGGTGGAGCTTAAAAATACCCAGGAATTTGCTTTCTATTACCTGCATGTTTTAAAAAAAAAAAAAAAAAAAAAAAAAAAAAAAAGGTTTAGTGTTTTATACTTTTAAAGCAGGGGCAGGCAATTATTTCAGGTAGAGGGGCTGCTTACTGAGTTTTGGCAAGCCATCAAGGGCCTCATGGCAGGCAGCCAGGGGCAGAGAGAGATTAATTTTCTAAATTTTTATTTAGGGGCCCCGCAAGCCGGATAGAATGGCCTGGCGGGCTGTATCTTGCCCACCCCTGTTTTAAAGTATAATAAAGTAAGAATAGCTTAGTCCAAAACTAATAAAGCAGTTCAAAACCAATTTTGATTGATTTTTCCTTTCATGAATGTTAGGATACGTTAGTAGAAAGGCTATTGTAAAAGATGACAAAATGAGTGTACTTCTTTCCTCATAGAGTTAATTTGATCAACTCAGATTGTACCTTTTCTTAATTTATTTCAAAATCATTAAGCAGGACAAAAATTTTAATACAGTTCCATTGACTGACTGTAATTATCAATGCTATTAATGCCTGATAGCGCTGTGCGAAGCTTCGGTCCCTGATTTCATTCGGCAGAGATTTGACCCGATTTGGTGGCTGAATCTCCGAATCAAATCAGAGAACCCTTTAATCGCTGCGAGTCAAATCAGAACCCTCCAAATCGATTGAGAGAGATTTGGAAAGATTTGGAGATTCAGCCATAGGCACAGCTTTAAATGTTTTTTCTACATACCTCAAGGTACTAGACGGCTCATGAATGTTGTGATGCTGGGGCAGATGGGGAGCGTCCCACAGGAGTGTGGGGGGCTTCCCAGTGCGCTTGGCAGAAGACCCGGAAGTGGACCAGAAGTACTTCCGGGTTCACCACCAAGCACGCGTCGGGGGGCCCACGGTCCTGTGAGACGCTCTGTCTGCCCCACCATTGCAGCGTTCGTGAGCCGCGCCTGGTACCTTGAGGCATGTAGAAAAAAGTTTTAAAAGCTGTCTGTGGCTGAATTGCTGATTCTCTGAATCAGCATTGAATCTTCAGATTCGGCTGAATCGAATTGGGGACAGCGATCCGAATCAATGAATCGAATCACTGTCCCCAATTCGGGCTGAATCTGAATCGAATACAGCCTGTTTAGCACAGCCCTAATGTCTAATAGTGCGCAAGAGGGGAGAGAGAAATAGTATACAATTGATCTTATATCTGAAGATCAGTGTGTTATTGTGTCAACCATTTCTGTAACTTGTGTGTTAAAGCTTAAGAGTTTTGAAAAAAATAGAAAAATGAGGTTTTTGTATTAAGAGAAGAGATCACGTGCTACTTTACATTTTAATAAGGTTTAAATGGATGCCTGTGTGTGTGCAGGTTCGCAGAATATATTCCATGATGCAAGTTACATAGTTGGTAGGGTCGGAAGGGACCTGAGCAGATCATCAAGTCCAACCCCCTGTCATGGCAGGAAAGAATGCTGGGGTCAAACAACCCAGGCCAGGTGATTATCCAGCCTCCTTTTGAAGACCCCCAGGGTAGGAGCGTGTTCTCAGGCAATATTCCATGATGCATTTTTACATTGCTTAATCATTATTTTATTTTTCTTTTTATTGTTGTTTCATTTTATAACTCTTTCTGGACAAGATTTTATAAAATTAAGGGGCAGTACTTTTTCTTCAATAAGCTGCAATTCTATACGCTTGTAAGAGAAGGGAAACATTTTTGTTGTATATTTTAACAGATGATGATGATAGAGAAGTCGGCTTATCTATTCTGCCTGGTCAAGTGTCTCAGCCGTCAACGTCAACAGCTGAACCAAGTGACATGCCAACTAGTAACTACACTGGTATACATATCCCACCTGGTGCACATGCTCCAGCCAACACTCCAGCTGAAGTACCTCATAGCACAGGTATGTTAAATACTTTTTATATGTGGGTTGTTTTTATTATTGCACATTAGTCTGTCTTGGGCCTTGCTGGAACTGTAACTTATAGGGATGAAGCTTTCTGTGCTAGGCTCTTTGTCAGAAAGTGATTGATTTTATTAAGTCTGAGTCAACCCAATTCTGTCTTTGGGTACAAGGAGGGTGACAAGAATGTATTTCTTTTCCTCTTTCTAAGCAAATCATTGTGTACAGGTTGATACAAGTATTTACTCTGTGGGTAATGGCTGGTTAAAAAAAATCTAACCAAATTGTTAAATATATAAAGGCTAGAAAATGCAGCACTGAAACATTATAAATCTGTTATTAAAGTTGTTGGTGTGTGGCAAGTTTTACATTTTAATTTAGCTCTGGTCACTCTCTCAAAAAAAGTAACGGAAATAAATATGGTTCACAGGTAGAAAACAGAAATAAATAATGAGAGTCACGGAAATACTAAGATATGATGAGAAATTGGAAAAAATAACTTGGCCTGTTTAGTTCACAGAGGAGATGACTAATGAGATAGAAAAAAGGTATACAAAATAACAAATGGTATATGGAAGGTGAATTTGCTACTCCTTGCTTTTTCATGGTACAAGATCAAGGAGACATCCATCCACTAGAATTGAACTGAATTGAATTAACACTGGTAACAAACTGATTTTTTTTTTTTAATAAAATGAATAATTAGTCTTTGGGAGCACATTTCTGTAAGAGAGATTTTAATAAAATTATATGGCTAATAGGTATAGTCACGTCTCAAGTAGATATGGTAAACAGTACTGTCTAATCTAAAAGATACCAATCCTCCTGATGTGGGCATAGTGCAGTTATTTTCTTGACAAGCAAACAAACTTCTCCCGCTGTCAGATTAATCAATTCCAATTTCTAGAAGTGCACAAGAGTGTGTAATGCTGTTTTGGAGCTCAGCAACTGTTTGAATTCTTCCAGGATAGACCAGGTTATATACTTTTAAGCCCTCCATTCAGATCCATTTCTTATCCCATCAGATCTAATGTAATATCTCAAGCCTTCTGCTCTTTTGTTTGATATCATGTTGATGCCCATTCATCTACTCCAGTGATTCTCAACCAGGGTGTAGCCAGATCCTTTGAAGGGTGTCATGAGATGTGAGGAGATAAGTAGATAAACTAAACAGATAGGGTCAGGCTGAGGCTTGACCCTGCCTGGCTGTTCCTCCACCCCCCACTGTCTGGCCCTTCGTACAAGGAAGTAAACAGTATGATATATAAGCTAGTTTCTGAAATCTGTGCCTCTCAATTCACAACAGATATGGAGTGGTGCCTTGAGTCCAGTGAAGTGTTTCTTGAGTTAAGGGGTGGTGTCTCCAGTCCAAAAAAGTTAAGAGCCTACCTACTGATCACCCTAATTCAGGGTTGTGTACCTTTTGTTCTTTGCCAGTACATATGCATGGATGACTTCAAACAAAGGTGATGCTAATGCAGGGGTGGGCAAAATGGCAGATCTGGCCAGTGGCCAGACACCATTTCCCAGCAGTCCCTGCCCACGTCACTGTGGCCAGTTTCCATGGGGACCCCAGGAGCGGATGGGCAGTGACAGCACGGGGCCAGGGTTTCCATTAAGACCAGCCCCAGCAGCACTGACAGGGCATGCAGCTGGGTAAAGAGCTGCTCCGGGGCTGAGGCTGAGATCTTGCAGCAGTGACAGCATGGTCTGGAGCTAACCTTATTGTTTATTTTATTTTAAATGATACATAAACATTTAAACATGCGTAGCCTACAAAGCATTTATAAAAAAGCATTATATTTCTGAAACTCTTCCAAACCTTTTCTTTTTATATAAGGCAAAGGTTATGAGGGTTTGCTAGCACTATAAGTAATGTGGAAAACCACTGTGTTAACTGACATTAAGTCTATAATTATAAGTAACACTGTAATTCTACTTTTGTTTCACTGATTTGTAGGTGTAGCAAATAATACCATTCAACCCACTCCACAGAATATCCCTGCTGTAGATTCTTCTCTTTACAATGCTCAATCTGCAGGTGAGATGATGTGGTTCAGGGTTTTTGGGTTTGGTGTTTTGCTTATGATGTTTTTTCCATCTTTTCAGAAAACAGTTTGAGGAGAGAAATCATAATATGAATTGCAAGCAGTAGTGAAATTCTAAGTACTGCTCTTTCTGTTTGTAGACAATACCTAGCGTGTTGTTTTAAGTTCTGAAGAAAGGGTGTCAAAGATCCCAGCTCTATCCAGCTGAGAGCCATGTCATCTAATGTACTGGGCTCCCCACTGATCTGGAAGTTTAATGGTTGGACAAGCAGTGACAGCATTAATTCCTGTGACACCTGCAGGGCCAAATGAGTTTGATACTCCTGTTCTACAAAAATACAAATAGCAGATTATGAAAACAATTGCATGCCTTAATACTAATAGTTACAAGCTTGTCTATAGATGTGGGCTATTATCTTACAAGTCTCCTAACTAATCAAGGTATGGTCTTAACTTGTGGGTCATGATCCCTAAAAGAGGGGCACGTATTGCAGAAAATGGGTTGGTGATTACCTGGTAATACTTGTAATTTTAAATTGCTCTTCAACTAATTAGCTAATATTGACAGAGTCATTTTAAGCTGCTCTTTTCCAAATCAGATGTAGAATTGTCCATTTCAGTAAAAAACAAAACAAAACAAAAATATTCTGGCAACAAAACTAAATTCCACCTTTGTTAATTTCTGAATGTTCCACCTGCCCAATAAGGGCTTCACAACATCAATATATGGACTCCTTTTTTCATGTTCAATCATAAATTTTTATCTTCCATTGAAATGGAGCTAAACAACTATTAACCTTTATGCTAGAGTTTTTCAGTATACAAAATCAAGTAGCTATGAAGATGACACAGTTACCAAGGTCTGGTAAAAAGTGGTGTTTGTCTGGTTAATATACTTTTATTACACTTGGATAAAGTCAGGTTTGACAGTGTAACATAATAAATGAAAATACTTACCAGAAAATTGTATGATATGTTGCAACTAAAATACATATTTTCTTTGAGATATTAAATAATTACTTAAACAAAATGAAAATACTGGAATTTAATATTTCAGGAATTTAACTGGAATATAGTATTTCAGGTTGATTTGTCATGAGATCAACTCAAGATGCCACATAATGCCATCTTGATGCGTAAAAAAAAAAAATTCATTTATACAAAAGGTCTCTAAGGGCATTTGTACACATACCTGTGCTGCAGTGCATACATTTGAGTAAGCGGCGAAATGCATGTAATTGCTAAGAAAATGGCAGCAATGCGCTTTTGAACTAAAACACATTGAACGTGTTTTAGTTCAAAAGAGTACCGCTGCCATTTTCTGCGCGCTGACCTGCATTTTGCCACTTATACAACTGCGCATGATGCAACGCAGGGCGTGTCAGTTCCCATGCAGAGCAGACTTGATTAATTGAGTCTGTGCCGATGTGTCATATTTCTGGCATATCACAGCACGAAAAAGTATGTGTATAAATGCCCTAAGAGATTGCAGAGGAGTAACAAAGCTCTTGATACCTTTATACTTTCTTAGAGACTATTGGGCATACTTCCTAGTAATTCTGACTAGACAAAATGTCCTATTTCTGTTCATAGTTACTCCTTCTGTTCAATACAAATCCTGGCAATATGACTAAAACATGCAAACCTGTTTATATTTTGGGTTTTTGAGCTTCTGCAGTAGTTTCATAAGCTCCTTAACATAAATCTCTTGGGGCATTGCTTAAATTTACACACATTAACTGCCAGCTAGATGAAGATTGAGAAATATATACATAGCTTTATTTGACTGTTAGGCTCTGTTAGCTAGTCATCTAAACAGTTTTTTGATTAATCAGCCTGCAGAAATTAATTCTTTAGTTTTATTAACCTGAATGTTTGACACTTGCCATCAAAATTAGAGTAAGAACTTAAATTTTCATTTGCATCATGTTTTGGAATTTCTATTCATTTGAGATCTCGATAGCAGAGCCAGTTGCTCCCTTTGACCTTTTTGTTTGTAGGAGTTCACATGCCGGTTTACTTACACACACACACACACACACACACACACACACACACACACACACACACACACACACACACATACGTCTCAAGTGAGCCCCACTTATGTTACAATTCAAATTGATTTATTGGCAACCTCTAGAAAAGAAGGACTCACCGCAGGTCTTGATTGAATTGGTCTGTCCTTATCTGTGTACTTGGCTGTCTCCTTTTCTGTCAAGGCTTTGATCTTGCCAGTAGTGGCATAAGCAGTTGTGCTAGGAAACTTATGGCCATACAGGTCCTCAGTTGCACCCAACAAGAAGCTAATATATAGCAGGGATCATTCACATGCTGGATGACACACGGGACAGAAAAGGAATATCAGTTGGAGGAGTTGTAGTATGGCACCAGACCCTTTGTGGATGTGTAACAGTGAGATAGTGAAGTATATATGATAGACATGCACACCCATGGGCCAGTCCACCACCATTACTAATTCCCCTAGACCTACAAATAGCAAGCATGAATAGTTCTTATACAGACAAGACAGTGACTTGAAGAATCCCAGTAGGTGCATCAGGGGATACTGTCTGAAATCTGGTTAGCCCATAATGTTGCTACCTTAGCAGCCCCAGGAAGAAATATATTCTTTATACCACTGCAGGTACAGTGACTTCTCCCTGGCTTGTGTATTGCTTCTCCATAGTAGTCTGTCCTTTCCCGCATTGACAGACTTTGAGTCATATATCAGTTTCGACAGTGTTCCTTATATTCCTGTGAGACTGTGTGCGCTTTAAAGTAACGTATAAATCATTCTTTGTACCTGCCATGTAAGAGGGAGTATAGTTTCATTATGTTGGGATGGGGAGGGGGAGAATGAAGAATTGTGATATGGGAAGAGTGATTATCTTACTGAAGAAAAAACAATTAAAATTAAAAGTATTGGATGTAGCTTTGATCACAGTGCTGTTTGTGTGCATTATCATACCTCCTAGGACTTCGCTTTTGTGTCTAGATTCAGTCTCTCAAAATTTTGGCACTAACAGTCAAACCTTCCCATATTGGTTGGCAGTCTCATGTTCTCAGTGAGTCGGTGCAAAATCCTACGTGCACTATTCCAGGGCAAGATAGTCAGTGTTTCTATTGGGACCAAATTTCATGAACAACTAAATTCACTCACAATTATGTTACACAAAGTGTATATTAAACTTTCATGCTACTGTAAGCTTCCTTCTACTGGTGGCACAGTTTAGAAAAGCCATCTGTACATTCCAGAGTTGTGCAAGTAGTTATATTTGGTTTTCTACGTGCAAAATAGGAATAATAATGTGACATTTCAAATGTTCTTTCTGATACTAAAAAGAAGTCTTTGAGGTCTGTGCATTTCAGATAATTTAAATGTCTCTTTTAATAGGAAAAAGAAATCACATTTGCACCTTTATATAATTATAGTTCCAGTTAGTATGCTGTTAGATTATTCAGTATTAAAAAAGCACTACTAACATATTCTAATGTTTCTAATTATTGTCACTGCTTTTATATTCTCTACATTTGTCTACACAAACTTGTACAGTACTAGTTTCTTTAAAGATATGTTTTTAAGCTATTGTTTGAACTTGTACAAGTTTGTGAGTAGATGTCTATGAAGAGAAATAAAGAGGAGAAGAAACTGGAGAATATCTAAAACTCTTCTTTTCCCACTACAAGATTTTTTTTTTTTATCACAGATGAAACTCTTTTAATTTCTGCATGATATTCTTAATCACTGACACAATTATGTCTGGTGGAATTTAGCTTTGGATGACAAATGTCTGTCACAGTTTGGTAATAAATATAGCTACTATACTAATACTATTTTTGGATTGAAACAGAAGCTGGTTTGTTTCAGGGTAGGTACAGCATAGCTTTTCCATGTGTCAATATTTTTGGTGTTTCAGAGTTTGTCCTTAAAATTATGAATGTTGAACTGCATTATAAAAAGGACAGGCCTTCTAAATGACAGCTTACAAATTACTAATACTGAAGTTCTCCCTCCCTCCCCCCATTATTTTCAAATAAATACTTTTTTTAAAGCAGCCTATAAGAGGTGCAGCTGATTTGTTCTTGTATGTTCTTCCCATTTTGGGGTGCTTATCTTAACAGAAGCTGAGGCTCTTATTGGGTTAACTTTGGTTTTAAATGAAAATAATTAGAGCCTTTTCCTAACATGACATAATGGTATCTGAAGTAGGCTTCATAATAAATAAGGCTCTATGCCAACAAAACATTAATAGGGGTGGTACTGTAAAAATAAGATTAGACGGGTGAATTTAGGCTTCCGTCCAATAAATTACTTGAATACTGGACTGCTGCCTTGACTGTTTTCTTAAAGAATGATATTCTAGTTTCATTTGGCATCACACTATAAAGCACAAAATGTCCTAGGGTCAGCATTGGGGAAGGGAGTAAATGAGGACTCTTGCTTTTTTTATTATTATTATTTTCAAAGATGTCAACCAGTGTGATACTGAATTGAGCCTAACTGGTTTGAATTAGTTAAATTATGTTTAGCTTATGAAATACAGACAAGTGTATACATCCCATGTATGCATCAGTACCTATATTAAAGAAACAGGCTTAAACTGGTTCACATGATTTAATGATGAAGCTAAACTACATTGCAGTTGGAAAGTAACCTTACAAGTTTGACAGGTACTCAGTGCCAGACATTCAATATTGCAGTCTTTTCATTTTGAAGATAAAAGTCAGCAGAGGTGTAAAGTGTGTTTTCATTTTGGATGAAATTAAACTGATGAATATCTGACCTTGTCAAGTATTAGTTATTTGGAGAATCTGGTTACTTTCTTGGCTTACTGTTGTCTTTTGAATTAAACTAAATGTTGAAGTGGCAGTATTAATCCTTTGCATATGTCGTTTGCTTTGTGGATGCTAATTTCCTTCCATGCAAAAAAAAAAAAAAAAAAGGAAGCAAAAATCTCATTTATAATCTGCTTTGATATGATGATATAAATTATACAACCCGCAGTAACATGGGTACTTAGACCATTTCAAATTAATTATTTAACTTAATTGGTAATTATTTCCTTTAGCATGTTATGAATCAGATCCAAATAAGATTAAATTCTGTTAAAGATAGTGAAGCAAGCTGTACACAGTAAGAATTGTCTGTAGATTTTAGCCACTGGGTTATTTCTATCAAAAATGTAATTTGATTAATAAAACACACTCTATGATATAGTAACAGTAAAGTAATTTTGTTTAGGCATTGGATTATTTTTACATAGAAAACATAAAAATAAAATTCTTCATTATTATCCATCATTCCACTTGTTCTTTGATCCAAATTGGTTGCTTAAATAATAAAGTGGCTAATGGATGAACAAATGTAATGAATACTGAAAACATTTGAAGCAAAGAAATGAGATTCGTGAACTGTAAAGTAACAGTTTTACTTCAGATTTTAAGGAAAGGAAGTGCAGCTTTACAGGATTATAGAGAATAAAATGCATAGAAAAGTTTAATACCAATGTGTAAATATTCAAAGCTTAGTTTATTAAACTTTCAATACATAAGAAATTAATGCTAAATAAGTGTTTATTTTCAAATGGGAAACTAAGAACAGTTCCTATAAAAACAGATAACGTAAGGAATTTTTTACCTAAATATATGTTTCCATCTTCAGTTCAAATGCAGGTTTTGAGCAAGACTTCTGACTATACGCCTTGATTTATACTATGTAGTATGAATTAAAAGAGTTATTCATAGCATAAGATATTATTCACTGTGGGTAAGAGTTTCAGCATGTGTCCCAGAATTATTAGGATTGCATAGAATTTATCCTCACAACTTTCATTGAAGTGGTTATGTCTGCACGTGCAATACGTTTCAGTGCATATTTAACTTCAAATACATCAGTGCGACTATTCACATGCTTAAGTGCTCTTCTAAATTAAGGCATAAATCTCCAAAACATCTTTGGAAAAATTAAGTTTGTGTGTTTGAGAGGTTGAGTAGTCAAAGCTTGGGCTTGTTACGCAAGAAAATAAACATTTTATTTGGGTTACTGGCATTTGTTCAGCTATTTTAATCTTTCTCGTCCCCCATTACAAGAAAGCTTTGGTTAGTGCTTGTCAGCTAATGGTAAAGTCAATAGACGGGACTTGCTTTGTTCAGTTCATAAAACCAAAAGCATTGCAATTGTGTTGATGCTGGGACAGATGCTTTGATACATTTGACCTCAGATAAAAGGAGAAATGCAATATTTATGAAAATATTTCAGAAAGGTATATTTCTTCATCTGGAAATATTATACAGTGTCTGGATAAATGACTTCAGCAGTGAGTGTATTGTTCCACACTGAGGGCAGAGCAATTATAAAAGAAACACAAGCTACTGTCCTTGTTTCATGCAGGTTGTAACATGACTACAGTTAACTTACTACAGTTTTAAAGCTCTTTTTAGCTGCCTAAGAAAGGGCAGATCTTTCTCAAAGGTATTGGCTTACATAAGGCTTTGAATCACATAAATCGCTGCATTTTAAAGGTACCCTTATAGTTTAGAAAGTCATCAAAGGAACGGAGCATTATACATAAAATAGAACTTAAATATAATTGAACGGACAGGTATTAGTTTTTGTGGGTTTTTTTAATATGTGCAGAAATATAAAATATATTTAATAAGATATTTAAGCTTAATCTGTAGTGAAACAATGAATTTTCTTTTATTTTAACTTTGTAAAAATGTTGTGGTTTTTTTTTTCCAGGGGAAGTGCGTTTGACACCAGAGGACTTTGCCAGAGCTCAGAAATATTGCAAATATGCTGGCAGTGCTTTACAGTATGAAGATGTGAGCACTGCTGTGCAGAATCTACAGAAGGCCCTCAGGTTGCTGACTACAGGCAGAGAATGAAGCCTTTGTCCAACAGATTCAAGTCTTTTGCCTAAAGAACTAACAGTCTATTACTCTACCTTCCGCCTATTGGGGGATCACAGTTTTATGAAGGCTCTCAATCCCATTGCCCATGACAATGAAATCAGTGTCTTGGTATCAGATTCCCACTGTAGCAGTAATTGGCAACCACAAACAGTTTTCATTTTCCACACAGTGGAACTAGAAACATCTGAGGGCAGTTGACTGATATGTTAAGATACCAGAGACTCTTATCTGAGCACTGCTAACAAGTTAGAGCTAATGCTATGGTATTTAGACTATTTGGAGAAAAACATTGCGACTTTCTTTAGCAGTTTGGAAGAACAAAGAAAAGTGCTATACTAGAATTCTGAGTCTGAATTTTTCGCTTTTAACAAAGATGTAAAAATTATAATGATTCTGGAACTGCAAATAAAATGAAGGCTTTCATGCTGAAATATAGGTACCAAGAATGTGATATGATCTCATGGTATAGCTAAAGTATTGGAAGGAAGGTTTGTTTTGTCTTAATAAAATAGAATTTAATCATCATTTGTCAGTAGTTGCTAGCTACACACAAGGTGAAGGTGTGGGTAGCCTGATGGTGGGAGGAAAGACATGGGAATTTCTTTTTAAGTTTGTTCTAGCTCCTTGGGTAAAATATCTTTGGTGCTCTTCTCCCCAGCCTGAAAATGGACTGCATGGTTTTTGGTTACAGGTTTTTCCACCTTTGGCATGGGCAGTCTAAATTTTGTGTACACTAAGAACACTTCAAAGAAGGGACTGTGGTCTTGAACCTCAAGCCAAGGTTCTAGCTCTTGAACTTTGTGGGTATTTACATCTAATTTCAAGCTTCACACTTGCCTCATGTTTTTATTAGGCTCAACCAAGCCTGTACTTTGCCACCGTCAGAGTTTACTGAGAGGCAAAATTGGTCATTTCTGTTAGTGCCACTAATGCTGGGCGTGTCCAGCTCCTATCCTGCCCTGCATGCTTTCTTGTGGAGACTTTCGCAACTCTAACATTGATTAAAATATTTCAAAGCTGAATGTTAAAGCCTCTTACACACTTTTATCGTTTGGAATTATTGAGCTCTGGGATTGTTAAAATCTATTCACCCTGTTGAAAAACAAATAAATGTCTTTTTGACTGAAACCATTTAGCAAGTCTAATTACTATAATATATTTTTGAATACCACTTTAACTAGCTATAGGTCTTCCTTTACAAGATACCAAATCAAATGTGCTCACCTTTTCGAGTCTACTGATTTTCTAGTGATAAAAATATAGCTGAAATTTATAAAATTGATAGAAGCAGTCTAATGGTATTAAAAATAGCTTATCTGGAGCACAAAGCATGTACTGTTTAAAGTTGCAGAATGTATTTAGAAGCATGTTTGAAAAAATAGTGTGAACATTTGTAATATAACCTTAAACACTACTGAGCACAATTTAATAGATAAAACAAGTCTTTTGCTGTAGGGTAGAATCCCAATTTAGATAATGTTTCTGGATCAATTAAATTTTTGCAAGTTTAAACTAAACAGTTCTGAAATATTACTAACAGTAATTTCTTAGTAGTGAGGTAGGTCATGCTTCATTGCAGTATTTCATGCAGGTCAAATACCAATATAAATTGGTTTTATTATCACTTGAAAAGTTGGGTTTTCAAAAAAGAATCTATGTACGATTATCCAAGGAAAACTGCTGCAATCTGAATTCATTATAAAAATACAGTTCTTTATTACACTTTCCATCTGAAGAATACACAACTACATGAGAATAAGCAGCAAATCTAATGTCCCCCACCCCCTCAAAGGAGAAGTTCATAGATGCTAGGGTTGGAAGGGACCTCAACAGATCATCGAGTTCGACCCCCTGCCTAGGCTGGAAAGGTCAGATGACCCCTGCCAGATGCCTATCCAGCCTTGTCTTAAAGACCCCCAAGGTAGGGGAGAGCACCATCTCTCTTGGAAGCCCATTCCAAATTTTGGCCACCCTCACCGTGAAGAAGTTTTTCCTGATATCTAGCCTAAATCTGCTGTCTGTCAGTTTCTGCCCATTGTTCCTTGTTACCCCAAGAGGTGCCCTGGTGAACAGAGCATCTCCCATCCCTTGCTGCGTCCCCCAAATGAATTTGTAGGTGGCTACAAGATCACCTCTCAGCCTTCTCTTGCGGAGGCTGAAGAGGTCCAGGTCCCTCAGTCTCTCCTCATAGGGCTTGTCCTGTAAGCCCCTAACCATAAAAGTGGCCCTCCTCTGGACCCTCTCGAGTCTATCAACATCCTTCTTGAAGTACGACACCCAAAACTGGATGCAGTACTCCAACTGCGGTCTGACCAATGAGCATAGAGGGAAAGTATCACATCCTTGGATCTATTTGTCATGCATCTGCTGATGCATGATAAAGTGTGGTTAGCTTTACTGATGATTTCATCACACTGATGACTCATGTTCATCTTGGAGTCCACTATGACTCTGAGACCCCTTTCTACTTCTGTGCTGCTGAGAGGGTCACTTCCCAGCCAGTAGGTGTGCTGGATATTTTTGCGCCCTAGGTGCAGCACTCTGCACTTGTCCTTGTTGTACTGCATCCTATTGTGTACTGCCCACTTTTCTAACCTGTCCAGGTCTGCCTGCAGTCATTCCCTACCCTCCGGAGTGTGCACTTCACCCCACAATTTAGTATCATCCACAAACTTGAACAGAGTACACTTCATACCCACATCCAAGTCACTGTTGACTGTCTGTTTTACTTTAAAGTCATTAAACAGGCTTGGAGCTCCTGCATCAGCATTAAAATGCGAAACAAATTGTGTTAGTGTACCAGGTTACAAAAAATACAGTGTTAATCACAGATTTTTCAATTAAAATAAATTTTATCTTGGGAGAATTCAGTGATTATCGGTGGGTTAAAAGTAAATAATGGAATAAAGCTAAAATTGGATTCAGAAGTCATTTGAAATTGAGAAAAAATTGGCTGCAGCTTATAGGTAACAGCCTAAATCTCGGGAGAATAGAGAATCGTCAGTGAAACGACCTGAGGCAGTTCCCTGGGGAGAGCACAGATTCGCCATCCTAACTTTTCCAGCCAGAAGAAAACTACAGGGTAATTCCTGTGAATGGAGTGGAATTATAAAACGAGTTGAACTAAAATATTTCCAAACTTGTTTGAGAGGGTCTTGGCAACATTCTTGCCATGAATTTAAAATAGTTGTTTTTTTTTAATTTTGTTTCTTTAAAAAAAAAAAGCAAATTCCCTAGATTTCTGTTGTGTGAAAATTCAAAGGTAATATACTGAGCCCCAGGCAATTTCATAAAGGAAACAGTTTCCAGCATCTCCATTTTTCAAAAGAAAATCACAGGGGCTGTGGGCATGTGTGAGTGGGGTGGAATTTAAATCATTTACCAGCTTGTTTGAGAAGGGCTCTGGAAGTCTTTCAGAAACCAAATTAATTTTAGAGAATTTTTCTTAACAAATTCTCTAAAGATTCTGTTCATGCAGATTCTAATCTAATGCTGACCTCCAAAACATTGTCTGTCTCTAGCCTATCATGGAATTTTATCTTGCAAGAAATATTTCCCTTTCCAGGACTTTTTTTTAAATTTTGCTGTGCCTAACAACACGGCTTAGTACAGGACATCTGAAATAATGCATTTAAATCACTGCTAGCCATATATGCTGCATGGATCCTGCCCTAAAGACATCCAAATTTGGTAAACTGCTCCAATTGACATCAGGAAGAAATATGCATTATGGGAATACAGTATAAACTCATAAATCTGGATCTCAAAAATTCAGCACTGCTCCGGGACCAGCCGCCACTCTCCCCCGCCCCCCGGATGTGGAGGGGGAAGTTTGCACGCAGCGGCTGGCGCCCCCAAGTTTGCCCCGCGGCGCCTCCTGCCCCCCCCCCACGTCCCCGTTCCATGTGCAGCCGCTGCTCCGGGACCAGCTGCTACTTCCCATCTCCCCCACTCCGCGACTGGCCGCTGCTTGGGTTTCAAAAATCTGACATTTTCAAATATCTGGCAGACACTTGGTCCCGAGCATGCCTGATTTATGAGGTTATACTGTATAACTGAAGCAAGCATTTGGTGCAGCTATGTTCATCCAGGAGAAAAAGGAAGCTTTAAAATTGGTATTTGAATTTGCACAAGTATTTTGCTGTGTGAATAAATACACTTCTGTACTGAGAGCTGCTCATCCAAATCACTGTAGAAGCACTTTGCAAATCATACATAAAGCAGAAGCACTGCAGATCTACTGAAATATTTCCTGTAGAAGCATTTTGCAAATCATACATAAAGCAAAAACACTGCAGATCTACTGAAATATTTCCATTACCAGGATTAGATCTGTGCAGCATCTCTTTCAAAATTCAAACCAATGTTTTGTAATAGTTTGAGAAGAGAAGATGGCTGGAAATGCAAGGTGAATTTAGATAGGCAAAATATAATTACCCTAATTATCTCCACCCACAGTTCTCTCTAACCTTTTTCTGAAAATTAGTTTAATAGTAAGTTAAAGTGGAGTACCATCTGCTGAGTCATTCATTATTGCCTGCAACAATCTGTGTTTTTTCTTTGTTGAAGACTCCTGTTTCACAAGCCAGCCAAGCCTTACTCTGCTTAGTCTGTAAAGTTAAAACACATTATAGTGTTTTAAAACAAAACCAACCCTCTGGCCCCCAGGTTGTGATTTGTACATCCCATGTTTGATTTTGCTATTAATACTTTTAATTAAATGTTGTATTTATAGTTACTTTTGTACAACTGATTTTTTTTTTCCCTTTTTTATAGTTCCACCCCTTTGAACTTCTTTGTGTCCTGCTGGCAAAATGTCTCAGGTGTTCTGTAGAAGGCACAAAGACGTCCCTGTGACACAGTGGGAATCTTTGAAAAGTTACACTATTTTGAAAGAATATATCTGTTCGCCAGAAAGCCCATTAGAACTGCTGTAGTTTTTCTAGCTGATTAAATTCTTCAAGAATGTCCAATATTAAATGGAATTTCATAGGGTCAGGCTCATCTGTGTTTTATATCACAGGATTCAGGGTAAGCAACTATTCCCATTTTGATTTCTACCTATAAAAATGACCTGCTGAGAAGATTATTCTGTTGTGCAAGATTGATATTCATATATGGCAAACGATACATAGTAAGTGGCAGTGTACCTTAGAATCCAGTGGTTTTAATTAAAAATGCCAGCCAACCAAGAGTCATGGCAATAATTTCCTGTTGCAAGTATTGGTAACATTGGAGGTGATATATCATTGGTTAGATACTATTGACAAATGTTTATAAGGTCATAAATAGAAATGAACCATTTAACACAGTGTCAAAATTGAGGATTTAATTGCATAGTGTTTCATTTCACCCTTAATATTCCCCATTTTTCCCACATAAGCAGTAAATATGAACTTAGTTCCATGATTATATATTGCCTTTTACAAAGAGCAGGATGTGAACACACAAACTGAAAAGGGAATTTCCTTTCCATTATTATGTAGTTCTTATGATTACATAGTGACACCAAAAGTGAGGTTTTAAGTTGTAAATCTAATTCTGAACACATCTTCCTTTCTTTTTTTTTTTTTTTAAAGATATTTTTTCCCTTCACTTTTAGAATCATAGTAGGTTTTGATGGTTAAAGCATGAGAAGGCCTGGTTCACAAAAAAAAGTCTTCTCTGATTGACCCGCTCAAAACAGCAGCTGCACGTTCTTCATTTGTTATCCTTGAGTTCCTGTGTTCTAACTCTGTGGGTGGCATAGATGAGTGTATCCCTTCTTTTAATCACCATTTTTCAAACTACAAGCTTATAATTGTAGCTAAGGAAAAGACAAAAGTGCTGCAGAGATTCAAGAAAACATGAAAGAATCCCTTAACATCCTGATAGTTTCATTACCAACAATAAAAGGCTTTTTCTCACTTTAATGCCACTGAAATGTTACAGGAACATTGGGGAAGGGGTTGCCTTGTATAAAGATGGTCATACTCTGAACACACAGATAGTTCCTCACCAAAAAGAGCAAGAGCTTGGTTTATTTCAGAGTGGTAAA